CCAAACCTCTGATACAGAATTCAGAATTCAAGACAGGGGCTTCACTTTCAAGATCTTTCAAGCATATCAGTTGCATTCCAACATTGAGAAAAGAAGAGCACAGACTACAGACAATACATTCATGTGTTACCCTGAGAAGGTGCGAGCAAGGCGTCTGCATCGAAGCAAGGACTATAGAACATATTGTGAAAGGATTTGGCCGCTTGATGCAACTGGCACAATGCACCGTAATGTGCTCAACCATGGAGTCAGATTGGCCATGTGGGAAAATGGAAATGTTATATACTTGGCAACCATCCTAAACTTTAAATTCTAAACCCCGAGCCCGAGCCCATTCGAACCCTAAATCGCAAAACTTCATTGACGCGTAAGTACCAACCGCCAAAACCAGCACAAGCTAGACACAAAAAGAGCACAACAAAAACACAAAAAAAAAACATTTAAAAACACAAAAAAAAGCAAACAAAAACACCAAAAAAAAACACAAAACAGCACAAAAAAAGCACAAAAAAAAAGCACAAACAAAAAGCACAAGGAGGGGAATGCAAAAATAATTTGCTAGCGGCGAACAAAATGAAAAAAACTATGCAACGGGAGGAAAGGTTCCAAAGGGACGACAAAACAGAGCTACCAGAGGGACACAAGGAAAAGCACAATTGAGCACAGCCGAGCACAATTTGAGCCACCCGCCGAGCAAATCGAGCACCAGCGAGCACAATTTGAGCACCAGACGAGACAATTGAGCACCAGCCGAGCACAATTTGAGCACAGCGGAGCACCAATTTGAGCACAAAGCTGAGCACAATCTTGAGGCACCGCCAAGCAATTTGAAGCACCAGCCGAGCACAATTCGAGCACCAGCCGAGCACAATTTGAGCACCAGCCGAGCACAATTTGAGCACCAGCGGAGCACAATTTGAGCACCAGCGGAGCACAATTTGAGCACCAGCCGAGCACAATTTGAGCACCAGCCGAGCACAATTTGAGCACCAGCCGAGCACAATTTGAGCACCAGCCAAGCACAATTTGAGCACCAGCCGAGCACAATTTGAGCGCCAGCCGAGCACAATTTGAGCACCGCCACCTGGGCAAATCAGAAATGACCAAAAATCAATGCAAAGCAGCTGAGGGACCACAAGAAAAGCACAATTTGAGCACCAGCCGAGCACAATTTGAGCACCAGCCGAGCACAATTTGAGCACCAGCCGAGCACAATTTGAGCACCACCCGGGCACAATTTGAGCACCAGCCGAGCACTATTTGAGCACCAGCCGAGCACAATTTGAGCACCAGCCGAGCACAATTTGAGCACCAGCCGAGCACAATTTGAGCACCAGCCGGGCACAATTTGAGCACAGTCCAAGCACAATTTGAGAACCGCCGGCACAATTGAGCACCAGCCGAGCACAATTTGAGCCACCAGCCGAGCACAATTCGAGACCAGACGAGGCACAAATTTTTGAGCAACCAGACGAGCACAATTCGAGCACCAGCCGAGCACAATTCGAGCACCAGCCGAGCACAATTTGAGCACCAGCCGAGCACAATTTGAGCACCAGCCGAGCACAATTTGAGCACCAGCCGAGCACAATTTGAGCACCAGCCGAGCACAATTTGAGCACCAGCCGAGCACAATTTGAGCACCAGCCGAGCACAACCGAAAACAGTAAAACCAAAAAAGTCAACTGCGCCAGCCCCAGCCTCAGCCCCAGCGCCAGGCCCAGCCCCAGCCCCCAGGCCCAACCCAACCACCCCAGCCCAGAGCACCCCAGCCCAGCCAGGCCCAGCCCCACCCCCCCACCCTTGCGTTTGGTGGTGCTGCTGGTTGTGGTGGTCGTGGTGGTGCTGTCGCTGGTGGGGGGCGGTTGTTGTTATTGTTGCTAATTTTCACATTGCTAAGGCTGTCGTAGTTACTAAGAATTGCTAAGGTTTCCAACGGAATGTTGGTGATAAGTTGGCCAGTTCCTAGCAAATCTGTAGCAGCCAGAGCCGAGAAGAGAGAAACAGACACCTGTGCAGCTTGATTCCTTCCGATTCACATGAAACATTTTTTCAACCATTTGATGATTTACATATTCATGGTGTCTACCTGATCTTTTTTTGGTTTTGGTATAAGAATTTATCCGTATCATATTACCAGATTAGACCCTTATTTTCTGCATTTGGCTGGTGCTCATTTTGTGCCCCTGGCTTGTGCTCACTGTTACTGCCCCGGGGGTAGATCAAAACTATAAGCAACAATATTACATATTTACTTTGGGGAATGATTTAGCATTGACGAGTAAATGATGCTGCTACATTTGAGTCCAAGGAAATTGAAGAGTTCTGCTCTGCATCATGAGCATTACGTTGGTTTTCATCGAGCAACATAGGATTTTAATCCACTATATATATATACATATAATTATATATATGTAATTATATATACATATACATGTATATGAGCCCATGATGCTGAGGAGTATGATGCTAAACCATGGGATGTTTGGGTGCTCTGCCGGATCGCCGCAGGACGATGGAAGAAGAGCTGAAGGAAGGCGACATGATCAGCGTGCTCGTGACCAGCGTGGATGTTGCTTGATCGCAACGGATCCGAACGTTTCCAGCCTGAGAATTGGGAGGTACCCTCTGGTAAACTAACATAACAATGGAAAATCACCATTTTTAATGGGAACATCCACTATAAATTGTCATTTTCAATAGCTATGTTAGTTTACCAGAGGGTATGCAACTTTGTATGTGGCGAAAGAAAATGGACATACAGTACATGGACAAAATATTCAAACCCTGCCCACACACACATACTATGTTGAACCCAAATTTCCATGTTTCAGCGCGTGTTAACAAAAGTGATGTTGGGGGTTTGGTTTCTTTCGTCCATTGGGGCTAACGCACATCAGGTTACATTAACATGGAACTTTGAGGGCGAGGGGGTTGTGGTTGTGTTGGATAGAAGGGGTTCGTATATTTCGTCCATCTACAGTAGGGATCATGTGATGTAGCGCAAGTAATGTATTGGTAATGCAATATATTGAATGGAATGTAGATATATGGAATTTGGATTCCCCAACTTTGGATGTAAAATACAAAGCCACAACTTTGGAGACCAAAGATGTATAGCAACCCCCCAAAAGAACGGATAGAACAAGCTGAATTTTCATTCTGTCCTATTTTTTGTGGATCTCTCTCTATATGTATACGTATGTGTATATATATATATACATACACCTAGAATCTAGAAGCGTACCTTTGTATCTAGTGTATGTGTGTTTTCCAGGTAACTATATATTTATATTCAAACACATATAAGAATTTCAAAACCACATAACCTTGAATAGAAAGGACACCCTTAACATTGTTTTTAGCATTTGGACATAATACATTTTGGGTGATCCCCAAAGAACACACGAAACATTGATGGTTTCATTCTGAATCACCATGTTGATGTTTTGTTTTCAAAAAAAACACACAACAGATCTAGAGAACCTGTATCCACGTTTAAGATTTCATTCGTTCAGCTTGCTATACATTGAAAAATAGAAATCTGCACAAAGAAACACAAAGATAGAATAAAGGAACACTTTCCCACGTAGGATTCTACGAATCTATTTTTTGGAGGGAATACCAGGGCCATTTAATTGGGAACATGATTATGAACCATCAAAATCAGGGGTTGAAACGAAGAACATGATATATATATATATATATGTATATTCCCACTATATTTAAGAGTACTATAGACCTCTATTTTTGATAGAACCTCTATTCTTGATGGGATACTTTTCATATCTTCAATTTTGGCAACCATTTCCCAAAGCTGGTTATATATATATATAAATATCGTAATGTTTCCATTCATATCTGTTCAAATCCCAGTAAATCTTCATTTTTGATGTTTAATCCTTGCTAATCCCCTGTTTTTGATCGGATAATTTCCATATCTTGTAAAACATTTCTCCAAAGTTGGTTATACATGCATATGCATGCATACATACATTACATTACATTACACTACATTCCACTCCATTCCATTACGTTACATTACATTACATTACACTACACTACATTCCATTCCATTCCATTCCATTCCATTACGTTACATTACATTACATTACATTACAATACATACATACGTACGTACATACGTACATACGTACATACGTACATACGTACATACGTACATAGGTACATAGGTACATAGGTACAGACGTACAGACGTACAGACGTACATACGTACATACGTACATACGTACATACGTATATGCATACATGCATACATGCATACATGCATACATGCATACATGCATACATGCATACATGCATACATGCATACATCCATCCATACATGCACACATGCACACATGCACACATGCTCACATACACACATACACACATACACACATACACACATACACACATACAGACATACAGACATACAGACATACATACATACAGACATACAGACATACAGACATACAGACATACAGACATACAGACATACAGACATACAGACATACAGACATACAGACATACAGACATACAGACATACATACATACATCCATACATCCATGCAGACATACACACATACATACATACATACATCCATACATGCATACATGCCTACATGCATACATGCATACATGCATACATGCATACATGCATACATGCATACATGCATACATGCATACATGCATACATGCATACATGCATACATGCATACATGCATACATGCATACATCCATACATCCATACACACATGCGCACATGCACACATGCACACATGCACACATGCACACATACAGACATACAGACATACAGACATACAGACATACAGACATACATACAGACATACAGACATACAGACATACAGACATACAGACATACAGACATACAGACATACAGACATACATACATACATCCATACATCCATACATCCATGCATACATACACACATACATACATACATACATCCATACATCCATGCATACATACACACATACATACATACATACATACATACATACATACATACATACATACATACATACATACATACATACATACATACATACATACATACATACATACATACATACATACATACATCATACATACATACATACATACATACATACATACATACATACATACATACATACATACATACATACATACATACATACATACATACATACATACATACATCCATACATCCATGCATCCATGCATGCATGCATGCATGCATGCATGCATACATGCATACATGCATACATGCATACATGCATACATGCATACATGCATACATGCATACATGCATACATGCATACATGCATACATTACGTTACATTACATTACATTACATTACATTACATAAATCATTTCCATGATACACGTCTATTTTTCCATGGTTATACCGGTATCAACCGTCAGGTGCAAAGTCGCCGGCTGCGGGTGGAGCGCCAAGCGCCCGAGACGCCCAAGAAGCGGCGCCGCTGACCGACGCCCAGCCGAAACAGGGCCAGCCGGTCGTCCAGCTGCGGAGCGGTGATAATCCAATGGCCATGTTTTGGTTATTTTAATGGGCACAATTGGGAAAATGAGAATCAACTGTTAGTAGGTGGAGGCTATGTCCAATACATGTAACATATATATATATATATTACTATACAAAACTATATGGGGTTTCTTGAAATGCGGGATCCCCAAGTCACCATGGGTTTCATTAGTAAAATAATCTACTTCTGATCTACTTTTGGATGATTTGGGGTACCCCTCCATTTTGGGAAACCCCCATATTACCATATTACGATCATTTTAACGGTAAAATGACAATCAACTATCAAGATTTGGGGTACGTCCTGTTTAGACATGGTTACTGAAACCGTACAAACCGTAAGGCGTAAACCCAAGGAAAAAAACATTGAGCAATGAATATGGTAATCTACACAGTCCCCAATTTGAACTTGCCAGGAGTCCATTCATCCTGGTCGAACATGATATGAGTCGTCACTTATGCAATGGTGAAAAGTTGGATTGCATACCCAGTCCTTGGGGGATGGTCATCAATCCATTTTCATCCGGATATATACTGTATATGTATATATTCTATGCATGTATGTATATGTATATATATATATACATATATATATATACATATATATATACACATGCATATGTATATATATATATATGTATATATGTATATATATATATAATATAGCATAGCTAAGATGTTCGGATTCCCCATTATGGGATGAATGACCATAAGCCACTAATAAGCCACTAATAGTATGGGTCAAAATTTGAGACCCAGGGGAGGGGATCGCAGCTTTTGATGGTGATCAGTAGCCAAGCCAATCCAAGTCTAAAGGTACCCAATTTTGACCCATATCCATAGATGATCATAGATGTAAACAGTTTCCTCTTCAAAGGTTCCCCTTGTGAATGTGAATCCCATCATTTTCTAAGAAGAGAATGGAACAGTGCTCCGGCCTCTTCTTCGGCACAGCTGACCTTTTATCTCGGGCTCGAAATCAGATCAAAAGCGAATGGCTGGCTGTTCTTAATCCAAAATGTGAACTGATTGGCAGCATCTGATCGGGTCAATCTCAAAAAGCGGCAGATTTTGCGATGCCTTTTGCTCTCCAAGTTTTTGAACCGGGGTTTGTCCAAAACATGGAGGGTTTATCATCGACTCATGGCCAGTTTAATGGGGAATATGAGGATCAAGCACTGGATTATTTTCAGACCACAGTGCTTTCTTGCAACCGCCATGTCGAATGCTGATGCTCACAGGTCCCTCCGTTGAGTTCCCAGATTGCCCTGGGATCACCCTGAGAAACTCATTTTGGGATGGATCCAAGGCTCAACCTGCTGGGGTCCTAGGGCTTCAAAAGATGTTGCGTTGATTTCAACCACATTCTTGCCAGCCGTGCCGTGTGTCATATCTCCATTCTTGTTGGTTCTGCGGATTCCAAGTTGTTGGTTACATTTTGTAGCTTAAATCATATCATATCCCTCTTGTTTGTTAGGTAAACGCACATATTTTGATTGGGCCAAATCCCAGTCTCTGTTGGTCAATTCCAACTTTTTGCTGAGGAAAAACCATATGGTTATGGGTCAAAAGCCTGGTACCCAAACGGTACCCAAAGTCATAGCTGGTATAGCTGGTTTTTTATTCCGCCAGTCATATGGTTTGATAGCTGGTATGACTGGAAGCGGGATGTTTATTCAGTTTATTCCCTCATTCCCCTAGTCATATGGTAATTTCATAGGTCCCACAGTCATACAGTAGATGGACAAATTATTCAAACCCCGCATCCATGAGTTGTAGGCTACCCCCTGTCCCCCAAATTTCAACGTGATCGTTTCGTATCTTTGTTCCTGATCTTATGGTTTGATTTTTTCTTCCATTCGAAGGAGCGAACCAAACCAAAAAAACAACATTGTAATTGGGGGTGCGGTGCAGGGGGGTTATTGGATTACAAGGGTTTGAATAATTTGTCCATCTACTACGGTATGGTAATTTCATGGGTAACTTGATGCATCCCCAGCCGCGAGCTTCGCAAGGCGCAAGCTGGATCGCCTGGGAGCACCCAAGCCCAAGGATGGGGAGGAGATGACGATGACCTCCCAGAAGGCGCGTGGCGAAAGATGATCATTGTTGCAGTGCAATTGTTATTTTTACCCTCTGGTAAACTAACATAGCTATGGAAAATCACCATTTTTCATGGGTAAGTCAACTGTAAATAGCCATTTTCAACAGCTATGTTAGTTTACCAGAGGGTAGTGGGTGTGAAGACATCATTGTTGTCACTATCAAATTGATGCCACTAGCCAGATCTGCATCCACTTGAAATCCAGAGATTCGAACATGACGAAGAAGTGGATGGTATACGGCAATAGTTCGCCAAGCTTGGGGTTTCCTCAGAAGTTAAAACATTATACCTGAAGAGCGGGGTCCGGAAGATGGATCTGGCCCAACTCTTAGGTTCCACGTTGAATTTAGTGGGTGTGTATGAAAATGTCATAGCAGAAATTTATGTGAAGTCCAGACATGGAGGTTCCCCAGCAACAATTGGGTGGTTCTTGTCACTTCTTAAATGGGAAACTGGTGTAAATTGAGGATGGTCTATTGTTGAGTTCACATCCACAGATCGTGTAAATTCACCACGAAACGGGATTTTATACAATTTCCACCTGGTATCGTTACCTGATATATCATTCTTTTCTTCAAAGTAAAGGAGGTATACTATTGCCAAACGGGGAAACATAAGCAATTATTTACATTTTTATTCTATATTGTTTTCCTCTGATATCTTTCTGGCTGCTGGTTTCAAATGGGACCATGATCTCAACTGAATTTCAGATTTTTCAAGTCAATTGAAACCACCAATCAGCTGAGGTAACTTGGGAGCAAGCCTGATTTGATTGATTGGGTCGATTTGAAATTTCGGTGGGATTGGTTTATTGGGGTCACAGCTATCTCCCCCCGTGTCCAGTCCCAACTCCGCAGGATCTGGAAGCTGCCTTCGGCATGTTGGACGAAGACCGCGATGGCAAGCTAACCAAGTCGGAGGCAGGGCTGGTGATACCTAAGTCATGGGGGGCCCCCCAAGTTATGGATGGTTTAGAGTGGAAAATCCCTTAGAAACTTGGATATTTTTTGGGGGTACCCCCATTTTAGGAAGGATTTATATGGGATTATACCATGTATATAACATAATGGCATATGATAATCCAAGACGGGATATTATCACCCTATCGCCGATCTTAATTCAATGGGGGATTTAACCAACCAAATTGTTGGGGATGATGATATTATCAACTGACAAACTATTTCCAATACAGTTTGTTAGCTTACTACTTCATGCTCCCCAAGTCTCAAATCCCCCAGACAGTAGATGAAGAGACCCAGCACTGAACCAGGGTTCCAGAACGTGGGTTTTCTTTCGTTGATGCCATATCTCTTCGGTTGACGAATCAGCACAATGAATGAGGCCAGGGCTTGTCGAAAGCAATCAGTGCCCACCGGTTTCCCGATTGATGGATGAAGGTCCAGTTCTAGATCCCGCCTAGGAAATCCATGTCTATACCTTTCCATACAAATGATCTTGAAATTGATCAACACCAATCCCTTGACATGATCAAGAACAACAAAACAAAATCACCAGCCGGCTCCAAAACAGTACCATCTCCAGGTCGCATCCGAGCATTGCTATACCAGCTTTTCCCCGGTAAATATAAGGGGCTTATGATCCCCATCATCCTGCAGGCAGCATATCCATTCTATACGCATTAGCTAATAATATTAGGATGGTATATTGGATTAATATATTAGCTAATATACATATCCTAATATTATTGTTGGCTAAAATCAATAATTTTCTGCCTCAAATTCTATTGATGGCTGAAAATTTATAGAATGTTTTTCTTCGAGGTTAAGTCCCTATTTTTCCACCATCAATATGGTTCTGAAATCTCTCCATGTTTTGCAAAATTTTTGCCCCATGAAATGCACGTGGTTCCACGGATTGGTTGAAGGGAACATTTACACAGGAGACTCTGTAGTTTGTCCTTAAGTCCAATAAATGATGATAACGCCATTATCATCATTTATCATTAAACATGCCAGAAACAAGATATACATCTGAAGAAATTTGATCACGATCTCACGTCGCGACGTCACTAGAATGATGGTTCATAAGAGGATCATGCCCCAATGGCGGAACTTTTCAGGTGAATGAATCTTTATAATGTATGCCGATATATTCTTGAACCATCATATTTCCCCTGTTATACCCCCATTATCATCATAGTTACGGTCAGCATTATCCTTATCATTGATAACACCCCCCCCGCTTCTCTTTGATTAGAACTGGGGTGAACTGGGGTGAACTGGGGTGAACTGGGGTGAACTGGGGTGAACTGTCTACCCTCTGGTAAACTGAAAATGACTATTGAATAGGTACATCCTCTATCATCCTATGTTTAATAGTTGAACATACCTATCAATAGTTACGTATCATACAAGTAACATTACCATCCTGTTCATTGTCATGACTATTCTCACCATCTTTAATCATTCTGATAGCTACATCCTCTAGAAATGGGCCATGGCTTCCATAGCAAAGCGTTTGTCAGGCCATCAACTTCCTGATTTGCGCGGGCTGGTGCCTCCCTGAGGAGACTTGTTTCCGTTATTTTGTGTAGTAAACTCCTGTGAATTTCGTTGACATGGGGGTTTCCATCAATGGGGGTACCCCAAAATGGTTGGTTTATAATGGAAAATCCTATTAAAATGGATGATTTGGTGGTGCCTCCATTTTAGGAAACACCCAAATACGGTTCATTGATGTTCATTTCATTTCATTTCTTCTTCTTGATTCTATAGTTTATACTTTGAAACATGTGTTGTTGGTTTCTGTTCAGTTTCCTTTTTTTTAAAGCAGCCTTTTGTTACGATGGCGTTTTTTTTTGTCCAGGAGGAGTTGGACTCCGAGTTGAGCGATGTGCAAAGGCGCGGAGATACGCCCCAGTTGGTCGTTTCAAACCTATGATTTATTCGTTGAGCAATGGAACAACTCGTCATTCATATATATATATATAGACATATTCATATATATATATATACATATACATATACATATATATATTATATATATAATATTATGTGACTGACTGTGATACTTTCAGTTGCTCATCATTTACTGGCTGGGATGCACATCCAATGGTGACTGGCGCAATTTCCATGGATGCATTGGGTGGACATAGGTATGGGAACATAGACTTGGTGACCCAATGATGGGTTGGCTTTACACCGTCGATGATCAGGCACATTTGCGGGTTTAAATGTGAAAATGATTGATATGGAAAATGATTGATCATGGTGGATGCACACATCAATTAAAAACTATAATATGCTAAGCCTACCTTATGTACGATTTGTGAACAGATGTATACACATAGCATTATGGACGTAGATGGATAGATGTATACAATGGTGTATATATATATATATATACATATATTATATATATACACATCTACGTAACTGAATCATAGCTATATGGATATGGATATCATCGATAACCACTGGCGGCAGGTCACACTTCAGCTTTCAGGAACTTTGCGAGGTGCTGAGGCCCTTGGGCCCCTTTAACAGTCGGTGTCCCGTGGCTGTTTGATTCGTTATAGTCATACGGTAATACCGATGAGTTGTTATAAAAAATCGTTTGAAGCAAACCTTCCCCGTAATAGTAAACAACCTGCAGAAACCATGGTGGATGGTTTAGTGCAACCAAGATGGATTTTTTTTGGGGTCCGCCCATCTTCAGACAAACAATCAGGCGCTGGTGAACCAGTGGTTCAACTGGGGAAATGTTCGACCCCCAATGCTGAAACAATCAGGCGACCGCCAAAACTCATTGGATGAAGAAAATCCAGTTTTCGGCGGATTTGTGGCCTTAAGGCCTCTTGAAAACCCTAACTTGAAGTTGTTTCATCCAGGGGATATGGGGATGGGCCAAAGCTCAAAACCTATTGCGGGGATGATTTTGTGGTGAGTTAGTTAGAACATATGAAAGCTATGTTTCGCCATATGTTGGAACCTATGTTTCGCCATATTTTGGGCGATGAAAATAAATCCCAGCTATTTTGCTGTTCATGGGAGGATCCCATGGGAGCAATGACACATCTGACCAGGCGCCTGTCTAGCAGCAAGACGGAGAACCTCAGTGTGGCGCAGCCCGGGGCCGAGGGCAGCGCGGGTGATGTCACCATGTTCAATGATGTTTGATTACCAGAGGGTAACCATAGGGTAATTTTCCATGTAGCTATTGAAGCAATGGCTTATTGAATTCGATGATTTACCTAGTATTTCAATGGTGATTTTCCACAGTTATGTTAAATTGTCAGAGGGTAACCATATGGGTTTGTCTGAACATGGGGTTACATCCGTAATGCCCTCCAAGTGGCCAACTCGAGCAAACATGTTCACAAACCACAAAAAAAATAGGGCACTCTATTCTTGGACAGACCCTCATATTTTCAGCCATATTGAAGCAGCATATTATCAAGTTTAACCATATGTAAAACCACACACACACAACCATTTACTAATGTTTAACCATATCGAACCAATGCACATGATCGAACATGGGAATCATATAACCTGATGATTTGATCAGAGCTATAGAGACCTGACACTTCTGAGATACAGTGGGTGTCTGCAAGTTGAATCATTCTCCGGGACCACTACTCCCAAATCATCCCATTTTTCATAGGATTTTCCATTCTAAACCATCCATCAGTTGGTACTGCCATGACTTTGGAAACCCCTACAGCGATTACGATTGGGCCCCCACAAGGTTTCAAAATGCGTCCGTAAAGACTTGGAAACCGCAGGCAACTTGTGGATTTTTGATGAACATTTGGTGTTCCATGAAATGGTGAACAGGATTTTTGATGGAAAAACACATGGGGTATGAGTCTAACTTGAAGACTCCGGGGGCCCCAAAGATTTTAGTGTGAGCGGCTGTCGTTTCTGACCGTCCCAGTATTTGTTATCCCAACTCTTCATTGAAGGAGATCCCCTATATGGAGGTTTATAGCGAAAATCATCCATAAACGGTGCATTTTGCCTTGTTAGATCACCAAGGGTATCCCAAGCTTTGACTTCGACAAAATCTCCTGCGGTAAGTCCCACCTTCAAGAGTCAGTGATTTCTTTCATTTTCGATGGGTAAATCTGCCGAAGAAAGGCTCGCCACCAGGGCCCCAGTTTTCATCACTTTTCCACGTTTGTAGACATACAGTGAAATAGGAAGTGAAATGTGAATAGATATAGTAAGTTCATCTAAGATATAGTTCATCTAAGTTCATTTTTGTTCCGGGGGGGTGTCTTATGAATCAAATTCCAGTACAGAACACACATGGTCCTCATCCCCCTGTGATTCGCCAGTTATGCTGGCTGGTTTCATGGGGACACTGGGAAGCACGAAAAAAGGTACGGGTACTTGAAAAGATCGAAGAACTTTTCTGTTTTTGATTGACACATGGTATGATTATGGTTCCCAATATATTATTTATTCTTTTTGATTAATTTACTGTATTCCTATTTGTTATATCTACATGTGTAACTTAGTAATGTATGTATATATATACCTGCACCATCGAATGTAGTACCTTTTGACAAAAAAAAACTGGCAAGGCCAAAAAAAATTGTTCGGCCAGTTTTTTTTGGTCATTAGGGGGACTTTACAACATAAAGCTGGCGCAAAGCAGTTTGCAAGCTGGAGCTGCATTTGCATTCTGAGTATAAAGGAAGTGCAATAATATGCATCTATCGAAGATAAAAACACACCCGCAGAACCATGATTTCAACAAAATTGAGAGAAGGAACGTGCAAAATTGTGAAAGCAGCGATTGAAGCGGTAGCTTGAGTGAACATCGTGGAAAAAAACACGTTGTGACCTAACACACTGTGATCATGTTTCCGCATTTATCATAGCCGGAGTTGCTTGGTTTGCTGTTTACTTGAACCTTTGGTTCTCCTTGTGCATTCTTCCATGTTCGTATCCTCTTGAAAAGAAGTATGCTTGGCTTCCAGAATTGTTTTCACTGCCTCCGTTTGATTTTGTTGTTTCTTATGATATTGTTCTGAAATGTTTACTGCTGATGACTTATGTTTGTTTGTGTTTGTGCATGTTTTTTTTGTTTACCTGCAACCTACTAGAACCTCTATGTCTATAACCTTCACCCATATCGCTGTGGCCCTGTGGGAGCCAAGCCACTCTCAACCAACTCTAATTTGAGCAGAGGTGCGAGTGTCCATGTGAATGTGCCCAATTTGTGGGATGAATTTGCCATGACTCATGCACTTGTGCACGGACCTTTCTTTTCAACCTTCTGCTGGGTTCGGGATTTGTCTCGCCGCATCCAGACATTCCTTTACCTTGCCATGCATTCTGGGCCAAAACATGCAAAAGCTGTGCAGCAGTTCAAATAAATGCTAAATGCAAGTGTGTGAGCATTTAAATCTATGCTTAAACGCACGTACGAACCACTCCTTGCACGCGTCTTCTGTGTATGTACAGTGGGTATCATGTGGGACAAAAGCTGGAAGACAAACAAATGACAGGGCGCTGCCAAAAGTGAAATGCAAACATGTCTCACAGATTTCAAACTCGCAGGACACCTCCATGTTTCCCCGTTGGCAACTGAACATGTACATGAAGGGAACTTAGAAAAGATCTTATAAGCGTTGAAGAGCATTTTGAAGACTAAAGGGTCTGTTACAACACATGTGAACACGACGTGTACTTGCATAGAGGACAATATGTTTTGCTCACGCAAGTGATACAGAAACACACGCATGCAGAACAAATCGCATACCCAAAACAAAAGATAACAAAAGCACGTTCATGGCGTGCAATAATGAGAGAAAAAAGAAAGAACGAGTCAATTTTGAACAATTTTCTTGACATTAACTTCTTCCAATTTGAGATTCATGGTTTGATTTCTCTGAAATAATACTTGAGAAGATCACTTGGCTAGATTTCACGGATGGGCGCTTACTCAAAGGATCATGGGTACTTGTGCCGTTTGACTTTCTGCAAGAATGACAAAGAATTGCAAGGTTTGCTCCAAATGGGATAAAACAAATACCAGAAAATACCGTATACGGATATAAATATATTAAAGCACTTCCAAGGCTAAACACTTTACCGCATAGAGATGTAATGTACACATATTATAAAGCAGCTCCAAGGCTTTCAATCACGGAGCTGCTGACCTGTATAGGTCCAAACATTTCAACAAAACAAAGTTGGGGACTTGCTGTTCGGCAATGCTGCATTGAATAATTACGAATTACCATTATTATATTTAGACGGTAAACATCTCAAAGGTAGTTGTGCAAGAACTCAAACATTGCCACTTCGGGCAATTTTCTGCAACAGCGAAGTGTACAACATCTTAGTCACTTGATGGCAAGAATTGGGACTAGAGCCATCAGCCGAACTCAGCAAAGGCCGATCTCTTTTGGCAACAAGTCGCTTCGTTTTTCAATCCCAAGTGTTTTTGTTTTAAACTCAACTGCCTTTTTTCAGGTGTTGACCCTTTGGCAGCGCGACCTCTCCGCTTTCAGCTGACCTTCCCACTCCAAGTTCAAGGGCCAAGTTGTTATTTTTGTTGCCTTCTTCTGCAGAAATTCAAAACCCACCGCAACCCTGTTCGTTCGCCTCTGGAACTCACTTTCCTGTCCCCAATAGGTTCACACAAGAAAATATCACACAATTTCAGGTTTCACAACCCGAAAGCACCGCGCAAGAACGCGCAAGAAAGCCAAGATTTTGCGCAAGAACGCGCAAGATTTTTTTTGGCCACCCAAACCGGCAATTTTTGTTTTTTTTCGCTCAACCTTTGAATTTGTGTCCATCGCGACTCCTTTTTTTTGAAACCCAACTTCCCGTCCCTGACCACCATTTTATTATATGGAACTGCCTCACCAGCTAAATTGGGCCATCCTCACACATCACAGTTAAAGCCAATTTCCATCTTGTAACAGCTGCGACCTAGTTGAAGTTGCCCATTTAGAATCCATATTGTCAGGAAAGGGGTGATTGAAACATATTGAAAGCACGAAACAAACCAAAGCTTGCATCTATGCTGAGTTCTGTCCTTGCAATGTGCGCGTAAAGCTTTAGGATTCTTTAGGTCTGCTTTTCATCTGTTTTCATGCTTAGGAGTGTTGCAGAGGTCCCCAAGCTTAAATATATTTTGGCCTGCAGCCAACCCAACTACAACCAACAGTAGAATCGCAAGATAGTTGGACCCAGCAGTTGGCTCTTGAAAAGCCGGAAGCCTGTGGAACTGCCCCGAAGCCTGACTACACTACAGAACGCAAATGCACTGTTCAAACAGGGAACCAGTTGCAAACAATTCTATGCTTGCGGTGCCTGAAGCAAAAACCCGGCCTTTATCGGCCTTTGTAGCAACACCTGCATATTAGCTTTCTCATCAAAGAACCTAGTCCATTAACGCTTCCCAGAACAGCCAAACTGCAGTCCTAAGCTTAAATATGAGAAGGTGATTTTTTACAACTGGTCACCTCTGTATTCTTTATTATGAGGATGCTTTTCTCAGAAGTATCCTGTGTTCCTTTTCATGCGCTGAGAACTTTTTATATTTAGGACTAGGAGCAGCTTTGGTGCCCAGGAGGTCCCTGTAGTTTCCTTCCCACTGAATGCTCCCGCTGGCTGTCCATAAGACGTGTTTATTCTGGATCACTGCCCCGGGGGTTTGCTTGTTGCTTCTTTGTTCAGCCTTTGTTTTCAGTAAATAGTTAAGTTATGTTATGTGTAAATGCTGCGACTTAGATTTCGGGACAAAACAAAACATCAATGCACGTCATGGCCCAATTCACACGGGTGCAAGAGCTTGTTTGGGAATTTTGAAAGAAAAAACAACGTGTTTGAATGTATATAAGCATGATATGTGCAATTTGTAGTGTTGTGACGCAGTAATACATGCGAGCATCACTAAACAAACTTTCAGCATGTATTTCTGGAATTCATGATGGGCAGTGGGAAAGGACCAGTCTTCACCCGTCAACAAAACAATTTGATACAATTTGACCTTATTCAACATCATGTAATCCCAAGCAAATATTTAGTTATATATTCAAAGCAGCCTGCCACTGAAGTTTTTACAATATCTAGACATATTTGGACGCCAATGCGAAGGAAAAAACAGCAACAATGTAACATATGTATGCATATGCAATGTATGTATGCAGTTCCAAAGCATCTTTATTTTAAAATTAGTGCACGGAAACCGAGAAATAGAATACCACATATACCACCAACAAAAACAGTGGAAGCACAAAGCACGCGGCAAGTGCATACTATAGGATCCTGAGCAGGATGTTTGAAACCTTTAACATTTGCTAGATTAGAATAACAGTAAACAAATAGAACAAACAAGAAAAAACATAGAAAAACACACAGGGCTATAATCACCAGCAACCATACACAGTTTCTTTCCTCGCAACAAACCAAGCAGGGGAGAATCAATTGGAAAAGAGTAGCGAGTAGAGCAAGTGATGGCACACAGAAAAAGCAAACAGGGCTGCTCCAACAAAGGCAGAAAAAGATAACTAATCAAACAGCAGGGACCGAACACCTGTGCAAAGATGTAGGAAGAGGGATCACGTGGCAAACACCAAATGACGGAAACTGAGCAAGCAAACATCCATTTAATCAATATTTGACACAACTGGTAAACTGCTGTGGGTCGCTGCATTGTTTAAATGGCAATATATTCCAAAAACATTATTGAACATTGTTGAACCTTAAATGCCAATTGGTAGAGAGCAAGATTGAACGAGGGGCACATTTAGTTGAAGATGTTTCATGTACACAACACACTAGAGCTTTTCTAATATACGGAAGACAGCGACACATTCTTGTGACCAAAAAAAGTTGGTCGGACCAACTTTTCTTGGTCTTTGGAAAAGGCCAAGAAAAGGAACAACATTGGAGGGTCCAGGTATATATATGTTATACATGACTATCCCCAGGTTTCTGACTTTTCCAAATCTTTTTTTCCGCCTCCCGCTGGCGCCGTGTGGCTCACGAGGTTGACCACTTCCCTCCTCTACCTTGCAGACAATGAAAGTTTGGGACTGGAGCACCTTAACGAGGCCTCTCAGCTCATGGAATTTCCGGTGAAATCACCCACTTTTCAGCGAAGAAATGAACAATAATGAAAGAGCCGGAAGAAAACAGAAGAAAAACATTGGATCATCAATCTTTTTGTCCCATTTTTTCCCACAGCTTCCAAGCTCGAGGTGGTGTGCACAGGAGAGAAAGCGGCCATGAGCCCAGAGGAGTTGGAGAACGTGTGGGGAAGCTCAACCGCTCAACCTTCAGCACGAGCTTTCTGGGTGAAGCTTGATACGGGAACCCACCACAGACCTAGGTCAGTTTTAGTGGTTTACCAAATCCCCAAATTCCGAGTTGACACTATGGTTGTGAGTTCATTTCTATGGGCCAGGAGCCACAAATCCAGAATTTCATAGTCTGTTTTGGTAGCATGCAATGCTGCTAAAGGAAGGTCTTCCATACTTAGACATGTCTATTTGTCGCCAAGAAACCTTTCATGATTGAAGTGTTGGCTTGTTGGCTTGCAATGCGGCTGAATTTACTGTAGATACCAAATTCGTTGAATCTCTGCCAATCAATTCTTCGCTGAGAAACTTACCCCATTTCCCGAGGTCGGAATTGCAAGATATACTTCTCATCAAGAGCACTCAACTGTTCCTGTCAACATTTCTCCTACGGTTCAATTCCAACATGTTGGTTTTGTTTGCATCCTTTCAATCCTTTCCCCATTTTTTCTCGGGAACTTGGGGAGAGGAGCTGCTCCATTCAACTTTCTGAGATTTCTTTTTGTGTTTTCAAGGCTTGACACCTTGGGAGTCTTTGATGAAAGTCTCTCGTCATGGGCATGGGATGGCATGGCTATGTTCCAAGTTCACAGGGGTCCCAACACTTCCGCAACTTAGAAAAGACTTTTAGTCATCATTTAGTTTGATTTCTGATTTCGTTTTAAGATTCAGATTTTTGTGTTGGCAAAAATAATCTAGTTTGATTTTAGATGCTCAACTTTTGGAGTATTCATTTGGGTCAAGAGTGAAACCTAGGAAACCCAGCAATCATCAGATGGTTTTGAAGCTGGCCACAGTGAACCAACAGTGAACCAATCATGTCATGGAGCCCTCAACTCTGGTTTTTCGGTGGGAACCTCAGCAGGTTATGGTGGTGGATAAAGAGTGGGCCATGTTTGAGATGTTGCTCCTGGGAGTTAGGAAGGGATAAAAACTTTCACATCCTGAAGGCCTAAAACCCATGTTCCTGCTGGCGAATAGATTCACAACCTCCTTGGGAGTTCCATGCAAAAAGCTGGCCCGGCCGGGGTCTAAAAATTAGCTGGGGCGTCCCCAGAGAAAAAACCGAAACATAGCTGGGATTTCTGGATGTTTATCCCCCTTTTTGTGCGGAAAACGATAGGTTTTAAATGGTTTTAATCTCATTGACTCATCATTTTTCTCACCATCAATTGGTGAAATCCCCGAGGTGTGGATTGTCCAGAACTCGCCAAGCGGATCCTGGACGCTGTTCCGGGACCTCAGGAGCGAGTTCCGGGTTTTTGGATCGGGGGGAACCCCCACTCGAATCATGGTGAAGTAAGGGGTACCCTTTGGTAAACTAACATAACTATGGAAAATCACAATTTTTAATGGGAAAATCCACTATAAATGGGTCATTTTCAATAGCTATGTTAATTTACCAGAGAGTAACTATCCCAAACTCGCCGCAAGTTTTGTTTTTTTTTGAATTGTTAAACAATGTTAAACATTTACCCAGATGAATGGAAACCACCAACAGTGACCTTTTTCATCCTTTTTCCGATTTTTGTGATTTGCCACTTCGTTCCTTCGAGTGACTTTTTTCGAACTATCATTGGCTTGGAGTAGGGTTTCCCATCAACCTCAACTACCCACTGCCAGTGTGTGGAGGGTATGTCCAATACATGTAACAACATAGGATTATGAACATATCTAATTAATATGTATATCTATATCTATATTATATAACTATATCCATATCCATATCTATACTATTCTATACTTATATATATATGGATGATTATCACATTTGGACGAATTAGAACGACCTCACTACGAAGTCGCCGGAGTTATGATAGGTATGTAAGGGATAACTATCCCAAAATATGTAGGTCAGTAAAATATAGTGAATTTATCCAATCTTATGACTTGAAATAAAGATTTGAACCGACTAAACCTAGATTCAGTAGTGGCAATTCCCAGGGAATGACTGTATCAGATTTCAAACCACCAATCCAGACTGCCAGGGAACTGTTGATGGACTAAATGATGAACATACATCTCCTCTGCTGACATCCTTTATCATGATTTATCCTACACCATTTCAATATTACCACCTACCAGTAGATTCACACAAATATGGAGAACCGATCCTTTCCCGTTGGGAAAACTTTCACGGGGTGTTTTCCATATCGTTTCGTGAAAAAGTACTGGAGGTGGAATTCAACTCGCGTTTATCTTGCCCTCTGCTAATTTAACAATATTTAACATATGGAGAATTAGCCATTTATACACCACTTAACATCACTTAAGTCACTTCAACATAGCACTGTGCAAACCTCTGTTGAATGATTATTATCCGGGATCATACTGACCGGTATACAGGGGATTATCATCATCCATTTTGGGAATCCTTTCCCACTAGCCAGTGTAATGGAATAATTGAGGGTCTTTAAACCTGCCCATTTAATCCTTATTGGTTATTCATGATTATCAGTCATTATCACATCAATTAATATCGGTACTTAACCATGCCTAACCATTACCCCCATTGTTTTCATTATAAATATTCACGTTTACCATTATCCCATTATTAATATTTACCATAGCCATCCATTAGCCATGTTTCAATACATCAATCATTCTGAACCATTATCCCATGATTAATATTTGATGTTCTTAACAATTATTCCATTATTAGTGAGGTTTTTGACCATGAAATCAAAGATTACAATGTCCCAGGTTTTACCATTAATCCAAATCCATCATCGGGATTGTACCATAAACATCCATAAACTATTCATCATTAACTTAACTATGGTCCTAGGTTTTACCATAAATTCTGCAATCTTTTTGCCAGTCATCTGAGGTTTGCAACCCACCCACGAAAGCTGGTGCAGCGAAGTCAGCGAAGTCAGCGAAGCCAGCGAAGCCAAAACAACTCGCAACTCGCCCGGTTCAGCGGTGTTTCAACAGCAAATTCCCCGTTTTTTTTGCTTTGAAGAAGTGCGTTTACTTAAACAACATATAATCGGATTTTGCGAGGAACAGTTGAACAATTGGATGTTAGGACACATTGGATTTTCATATGAATAAGTTGGTATTTGACCAGCAAATTCTGAGCGTAACCCAAAAATAGCTGCCTGAACCAACTGGGTTTGGCTGAATATTCCCGGAATTTGCAGGCTCTGTTGGGTATATCCCAGCGACAAATTCCTAATGTCAAACGGTCTTGTCTCACCTTGTGCAAGGCGGTGATGATCCCAACTGAGATTTCTTAGGTTCGGTTTCCGCAGTCATTTCAGCCTCAAAGGGCAAGTATTTTCGCAGTCCAAGCTGGTTCCTGGACACCCTTTCTCCCTTTGGTTTTAGTGAGTCCTGGTGTACTTTGACCAGCTTCACATTTTGGATTAATAGATGCCTTGGCCATCCGTGGCCTTTTTTGTTTCAGCCAACCACGCACCATAAAATCTGTATAAAATACACTTCTTGGTTTCACAGTTTCCGAAAAAAAACACAGGAGAACACAGCAGCACAGCCGTCCAGCCGCAGCAGAGACAGCCACAGCGACTTCCTCCGTTTTCTCACCGCCTAGGCGAAGGTAGGGGTGCCCAGGTCATACTGGGTTGATGACTTGTGCCAGTTGTCCAGTGGAGAGTTCTAGAATGATTTGTTCAGTATGTAATTGATACATTCATACGCATGGGGTTTCTTAAAATGGGGATGCCGAAAACCATGGGTTTCAATACTAAAATGGTCTAATTTTGGATGATTTGAGGGTATCCCCATTTTAGGAAACCTATATGATACTTAGGGAATAAGAAAAGTCCTGCTGATTCCAGAGAAGCCGAGACCTAGACCAGCTTGCTGGCTTGCTGTGTGCACACCTTCTGGTGGTGGTTCAGCATGGTTTAGTGGAAAGACCATGATCAACATGTCCGTGGATAGCCCACCAAAAATCGATCCTCTAACACTGCATGACCCGCTGGTACCCTGGTGGCTGGGGGTATAGCCGTATAGCCCGATGGCTTTGTTCTCACATGTCGGATAAACATTGGGACAGATAAATTTACCCTGGCAAGCTTAAGGAGCTACTCCATTCACTCTACCGATGTTACTACGACCCCAAGAAATGATATCCTTTGGGAAAGTGATTCGATGATATCCCAAAATAGGCAAAATGTAGAGGTGGTCGAACGACAAAGAAAGGATAACGAAAACGATATTCAATTGTGCGAAAGTATGGCAATGTGATCGGCTGCCCCAGTTATAACACATATTAATAAATATTAACATATATGAATGCCTTTGCATACATATCATATTACGTAATATATAGTAATACGTATAATGAATCCATAGATCAGCTTCGCCTCGATGGACTTCCTGCCACTTGGCTTGAACAAATTGGTGAACCGGGAATTGTGGGAATTAGTCATGATCAAACAACATCAACCATCAACCAGCGGCGACCAGTATCAACCAGTAGCAACCATTTTCAACCGCAGTAACCAGTGCAGCATAAACCGGAGTAGCAGCAACCAGTGTAGCGGCAACCAGTATCAACCACTAGTAGCAACCAGATCAACCAGCATTTACAAGGTCACGCCGGGGATAGTGGCGCTGGTGTTTTTCAGCCTCGCACGCAATAGCCGTTATGTCAAGAATTAAGAGCATGTTGGAAATTAACATCACGAGCGTGTTAAAACGTTCTTCCGTTATTCATTGCCTAGAAGCAAGAACGTGTTTGAAATTACTGTCGGAAGTGCAACACCGCTACATCACGAGCGTGTTAAGATGTTCTTCTGTCCACAGCGTAGGAGAGTCTTTGAAATTCCTATGGGAAACGCAACAAGGTAACATTACGAGCGCGTTAAAATGCTCTTATGTTCATAGCGTAGAAGCAAGAGCGTGTTGAAAATTACTATAGGAAGTGCAACAACGTAATATCACGAGCGTGTCAGAATGTTCTTCTGTTCATAGTGTAGAAGCAAGAGAGTGTTAAAAATTACCATAGAAGCGCAACAACGCAACATTACGAGCGTGTTTAATGCTCTTATGTTCATAGCGTAGAAGCAAGAGCGTGTTGGAAATTACTATAGGAAGTGCAGCAAACTAATAATATCAGGAGCGTGTCAAAATGTTCTTCTGTTCATAGTGTAGAAGCAAGAGAGTGTTTGAAATTACCATAGGAAGCGCAACAACGCAACATTACGAGCGTGTTTAATGCTCTTATGTTCATAGCGCAGAAGCAAGAGCGTGTTGGAAATTACTTTTGAAAGCACAAGACGGAGAATCAAAGAACGCTGACGATTGAACCCCCCCACCACCCCATGCAAAAGTTACCATCAACATAAATATCAACATCATCAACCAATCTCATCCTCTCAACCATATATTAATGAATCGCATCCAAGATCAGACCTTATCGGTAACACAAACACGGTATAAACTGAGTATACTGTACCATCTGGTTATGACTAACATAGCCATGGAAAGATCCACCATTTTTAATAGGTAAAGAATCTATTTCTATGGGCCATCTATACCATGGCGAACTGTTAGTCATAACCAGGTTGGGTAAATCAAAAAAACTCCATGGCTGAAAGGATGCCCCCTTGGCCAGGCAGGCACTTTTTCGCCATGGCGAAGGTGAAGGTACAACCCTCGCCACCATGGAAATTTCTTGGGCAAACACCTTGACATCCGGGTTGATAGGCACACATTTAAGGACCGATTTGAACAGTCATTCTGCAGCAAGATCCGATTAAAACTGGCCCGTCCGACATTCCAGTTGTAGATGGTTTACGATTTGAAAAAATGGCCTTTCCACGACCATGCCCAACAATGACATTGGGTCTGTTCAAAAAGGGTGTATACCGAAAACCTCAATTCAATGTTTTATCATCATTTTATTTGCATTTCTCGCAATGAACCCAGATGCATTTTGGATTATGATATATCGTATCTAATATCCCCAACCCCAATTGATATAATCTCAGGTAGTGTAACAATAGAAAGTCACAATTCTTAATAGGTATATCATCTACAAATGGGGTAATTTTCGATGTCGCAAACCGTTTCTGTAGGGGGTAGCGATTGTTGGTGAATTTCACACTGACTTGGATCAGAAGATGCAATGATGGATCAATACATCCATTATCATCCATTGATTGTTGGTTAGATTCGCAATGATTCCATGTAAACAATCCACCAAGAAAGGTGGAATTTCCCAAAAGCCGCCCGAGCTTGCGCGACGTGAACAGATGAATGCGCTTTCGACCTGCCGTTCCGCGCCGGAAGTGAGCTTTAAAGCTCGCTACAAGGACCTGAAATTTTCGGGTTTGTCCACTGGGTAGTACTCGGTAGATGGAATATTTACTCATTCAATTTCGGGTCATTCGAACAGGGAAAATGGTGATTCACCTGTGCATTTAGGGGTACTTATTTTTGGGCTTAAACACTTAAACCCAGCTGAAACCTGGGAAAATGTTGGCTGTTTTTCCATGGTTGATTTGGACTGGACACCAGCTGCCGTTTGACACTCCTATACTTCTATGGATGAACAGGGTTACCCTATGTTACCCTCCAGTAATCTAATCGGACTAGCTGCAAAGTTATGTATAAATAGGTGATTGTCCAGCCTGCCAGGTTTGACTTATCAACAATTGACAGAAAAGCAGCAACGGCTCAAGGCTATCAATGCCCCAAGCTGGCACACTTTGTGTTCTGTTGATTGATGACTCAATTTTGAGCCAGACTGGAGATACTCTTGAGTGTTTCAACACACTGAATGATACAGTGATGCACATATCAATGTACCACACACTTGCGAAGTCATGAAAGACGGTCTCTTTTCATGAATGCAAAGTCTGATTACCTCATGGTAGATTGAAGGCATCACTCGGCCATACCGAGTTAAAAAAGGCCAAGCTTATCCGTTGACATTTGAATGTCAGGTTGTTTAAAAGAGAAACCAATACGGCTCAATCAAAAGTGATCATGAAATGACTGAATGACGGCATGCAGGTTCTTGGGTTAGCCTGATCCCATAAAGTACTAACAGATACGAATATGACCACCAGCTATGACCCCAACACATTGGGTATGTCATCCAGGTGCATCATGCAGGTACGTTTTCACAACCTAAGGTGAGCGTCTTCATTGGCACAAGACTCACCAAAGGTCCTTGTGCCCCCTGCTGTGAATTAAGGTGCAATGGTATCCATAATTTATGGAAGAAAGCAGTTAAAAAAAAAACTAGTTGGTTGAAATCAGCCGCAAAAAGTGAGGAACTCTTCGGTACAGAGCTTGACACACACAAAAAGGCACGTAGCCGGGCTTGTATTCCTTTAAAGGCGAGAATGGAAGACATCATCAAGAGATTTGTGAAAAAACCGCAGAGGAACATTTGCAACCTCATCAGCGTGTCAGTAAATATTTTTGCCACAGCCAAAAGGTTAGGTATGCTTGAACTGCCTTCTGTACAGGACGCGTTGGCAGTCTGTTTTGGAGAACCCTTTCTGTACATACAGCTGAATGAGTTGGTTGAGATCATCACGGACAAATTCTTTGGGAAACGTGTATCTGCGAATTAAGGTTGCACGGGACTTTAGTCCGGACAAGCGGAGACGCATGCTGCCAGCAGAATGGAGATGACGAATTTCCCATAGTGGAGGTACTTGGTACCTTACGGTTCGTTGCACTACGTCAATGGTGAACCCAAGGAGTGTACCATCTTGGACGGTTTCCAACTCCACCGGCGCTTGATAAAAGAAACAATCGGAAAGCACTCGCATGGGCAGTGCGGAGCGAAAACGGTGGTCAAACAAAATGAATCTGTTGTCCACATATCTTGTGAACAGAAGCCTTTCTGTACATATAACCGAGATAGTGCGTGCAACGAACTCTGTGCTTGACAGGACGGAAATGAATATTTACGAATTAAATGAGCTCGACTCTTCAGTCCGCTCAAACGCAATCGGAGGGTTCCGGCTGAAATGATTGTTCTTTCAGAAACATCAGCATAAAAGCCGAGAAGTAAAATTGTCGGCAACCAGCTCCAGTTCGACTGGACTAACATAAAAGTCCAAGTCTGTAAACACTTGGAACACTGGAGCCTGAAGATGGTGCTTCTGTACAATGACAAAACGGCTGTCGACGTACCTGATTGCAAGATGATGAAAATTTGGTTGAGTCAGGACTTCTTGATAGGTACTGCTCCACGGTCTCTCGATAAGCGTCACGGCCAAGTTCGAAAGTGTTGGAGAAATCTGACTTCCTATTCCAGCGCCCCTGATTTGGCGCCATACAACACCAAGTGCTGTGAAAAAGTGAGTCCGCTGTACACGTGGGTCGACCCCCTGCCTTAAAACTGAAAAATTGAAAAACTGAAAAACCGAAAATTCGCAAACCCCTTGGAAACAGGGGTTGACCCTACACACAAAAGCCTATCGCCGCTGGTATTTGTCGGCCACAACGCACTGTGAATATCTGACAAAGCGAAGCCTTTCTGTACATATAACCGAGATAGTGCGTGCAACGAACTCTGTGCTTGACATGACGGAAATGAATATTTACGAATTAAATGAGCTCGACTCTTCAGTCCGCTCAAACGCAATCGGAGGGTTCCGGCTGAAATGATTGTTCTTTCAGAAACATCAACATAAAAGCCGAGAAGTAAAATTGTCGGCAACCAGCTCCAGTTCGACTGGACTACCATAAAAGTCCAAGTCTGTAAACACTTGGAACACTGGAGCCTGAAGATGGTGCTTCTGTACAATGACAAAACGGCTGTCGACGTACCTGATTGCAAGATGATGAAAATTTGGTTGGGTCAGAACTTCTTGATAGGTACTGCTCCACGATCTCTCGATAAGCGTCACGGCCAAGTTCGAAAGTGTTGGAGAAATCTGACTTCCTATTCCAGCGCCCCTGATTTGGCGCCATACAACACCAAGTGCTGTGAAAAAGTGAGTCCGCTGTACACGTGGGTCGACCCCCTGCCTTAAAACTGAAAAATTGAAAAACAGAAAAACAGAAAATTCGCAAATCCCTTGGAAACAGGGGTTGACCCTACACACAAAGCCTATCGCCGCTGGTATTTGTCGGCCACAACGCACTGTGAATATCTGACAAAGCGAAGCCTTTCTGTACATATAACCGAGATAGTGCGTGCAACGAACTCTGTGCTTTACAGGACGGAAATGAATATTTACGAATTAAATGAGCTCGACTCTTCAGTCCGCTCAAACGCAATCGGAGGGTTCCGGCTGAAATGATTGTTCTTTCAGAAACATCAACATAAAAGCCGAGAAGTAAAATTGTCGGCAACCAGCTCCAGTTCGACTGGACTACCATGAAAGTCCAAGTCTGTAAACACTTTGAACACTGGAGCATGAAGATGGTGCTTCTGTACAATGACAAAACGGCTGTCGACGTACCTGATTGCAAGATGATAAAGAAATTTGGTTGGGTCAGAACTTCTTGATAGGTACTGCTCCGCGATCTCTCGATAAGCGTCACGGCCAAGTTCGAAAGTGTCGGAGAAATCTGACTTCCTATTCCGGCGCCCCTGATTTGGCGCCATACAACACCAAGTGCTGTGAACAAGTGAGTCCGCTGTACACGTGGGTCGACCCCCTGCCTTAAAACTGAAAAATTGAAAAACAGAAAAACAGAAAAAATCGCAAATCCCTTGGAAACAGGGGTTGACCCTACACACAAAGGCCTATCGCCGCTGGTATTTGTCGGCCACAACGCACTGGGAATATCTGACAAAGCGAAGCCTTTCTGTACATATAAACGAGATAGTGCGTGCAACGAACTCTGTTCTTTACAGGACGGAAATGAATATTTACGAATTAAATGAGCTCGACTCTTCAGTCCGCTCAAACGCAATCGGCTCCAGTTCGACTGGACTACCATATGTAAACACTTTGAACACTGGAGCCTGAAGATGGTGCTTCTGTACAATGACAAAACGGCTGTCGACGTACCTGATTGCAAGATGATGAAAATTTGGTTGGGTCAGAACTTCTTGATAGGTACTGCTCCTCGGTCTCCCGATAAGCGTCACGGCCAAGTTCGAAAGTGTTGGAGAAATCTGACTTCCTATTCCAGCGCCCCTGATTTGGCGCCATACAACACCAAGTGCTGTGAAAAAGTGAGTCCGCTGTACACGTGGGTCGACCCCCTGCCTTAAAACTGAAAAATTGAAAAACAGAAAAACAGAAAAATTCGCAAATCCCTTGGAAACAGGGGTTGACCCTACACACAAAGGCCTATCGCCGCTGGTATTTGTCGGCCACAACGCACTGTGAATATCTGACAAAGCGAAGCCTTTCTGTACATATAACCGAGATAGTGCGTGCAACGAACTCTGTGCTCTACAGGACGGAAATGAATATTTACGAATTAAATGAGCTCGACTCTTCAGTCCGCTCAAACGCAATCGGAGGGTTCCGGCTGAAATGATCTTTCAGAAACATCAACATAAAAGCCGAGAAGTAAAATTGTCGGCAACCAGCTCCAGTTCGACTGGACTACCATAAAAGTCCAAGTCTGTAAACACTTTGAACACTGGAGCCTGAAGATGGTGCTTCTGTACAATGACAAAACGGCTGTCGACGTACCTGATTGCAAGATGATGAAAATTTGGTTGGGTCAGAACTTCTTGATAGGTACTGCTCCACGGTCTCTCGATAAGCGTCACGGCCAAGTTCGAAAGTGTTGGAGAAATCTGACTTCCTATTCCAGCGCCCCTGATTTGGCGCCATACAACACCAAGTGCTGTGAAAAAGTGAGTCCGCTGTACACGTGGGTCGACCCCCTGCCTTAAAACTGAAAAATTGAAAAACAGAAAAACAGAAAAATTCGCAAATCCCTTGGAAACAGGGGTTGACCCTACCCACAAAGGTCTATCGCCGCTGGTATTTGTCGGAAAACCGAGATAGTGCGTGCAACGAACTCTGTGCTTGACAGGACGGAAATGAATATTTACGAATTAAATGAGCTCGACTCTTCAGTCCGCTCAAACGCAATCGGAGGGTTCCGGCTGAAATGATTGTTCTTTCAGAAACATCAACATAAAAGCCGAGAAGTAAAATTGTCGGCAACCAGCTCCAGTTCGACTGGACTACCATAAAAGTCCAAGTCTGTAAACACTTTGAACACTGGAGCTTGAAGATGGTGCTTCTGTACAATGACAAAAAGCTGTCGACGTACCTGATTGCAAGATGATGAAAATTTGGTTGAGTCAGAACTTCTTGATAGGTACTGCTCCACGATCTCTCGATAAGCGTCACGGCCAAGTTCGAAAGTGTCG